TGTAGGTGTGTGTGCAGGTGTGTGTTTGCAGGTATGTGTGTGTGCAGGTATATTTGCAGGTGTGTGTATGTAGGTATGTGTTCAGGTGTGTGCCTGAGTATGTGCACTCACCTCTCAACTGGTACTCAACTGGAACCCTAGCACAGCCCCCGGGCCCCCCTCGCACACACCCTTTACCCTCTTTCTGCTCCCTTGCAGACCATCCTAGTGAGTGACAGTGGTGTGGGGAAGAGGTCGTTGCTGGTGCAGTTACACCTGGGCAAGTTCCTCCTGGGCTCCTTCTCGGCCATCGTGGGCATCAGCTTCATGGTAAGTGCTGCCAGCCTTGCCATGCAGACCATGGGCCTCTGCCGGGTGTGGGCAGGAAATGGGTCTGGGTCCCTGGTAGACTTGCGGACAAAGGCAACCTGCCAGGACAGCCTGCTTCCTGGAAGGGAGGAGGGATTGGAGCCTTACAGAACCTTCAGGCAAAGCCTGAGTCAGCAGGTAAACCGAGGCCATGATGGCTCTGGATAAACAAGGTTTCGAGGGCAGGCTGGTGGCAGGAGCTGTGCCCTCAGGGCACCCGCACCCGGGACAGTCACACGCCCCCCCCCAAAGCTCTCCTCCTGCTCCCCCTGTCTCCTGGGGCTCCCCCTGGCTGAACACGATTGAAACCTCCTGGGTATAAGTGCTGTGCTCATGCAGGCTGCTCAGGGCCATGTCCAGGGCAGGAACCCAAGAGGCTGAGGCTAACAGAACATTCTAGACACAGCCCTCAGCTGTGCCGTCCGGGGCCAGCCAGGGCCCAGCTCCACTTCAGTCCATGCCCGGACCCAGCTGAGAGGCAGCTCCTGGCGGGACATTCCCCAGCCTACAGACACAGCCCAGAGCCCTCCTGGGCCTGGCTCCTGTCCTGCCCTGCCCTGTATCTGTCCAATGCAGCCTGACCTGAGGAGGAGCCAGTCTCCCCCTGGCCCTCTAGAACCATCCACTGGAGCCCTCTAGGGCTGGGAATTGAGCAAGTACCACAGTCACATCCGGGTCTCAGCAAGCACAGGCCCTTGCGGCCCCACTGGCGGACACTGCGGTGCCCCAACAGGGGAGACAGGAGAGGGGACTCCCAGTCCAAGGGTGCTTATCCCCCATGCCCTATCCTGGGAGTGCCCTTGGGGTCCCAGTGAGGAAGGAGAGGGCTCAGGATGATGGGGTCCCCAGGAAGAGTGAGGGGAGCCTGTCAGGGAGGGCGGGGTCAGAAGTTGGGGCGGGGGGTCTGGAATTGGTTCCTGAGCCTCCAAGCAGGAACAGTGGTTGGGGGGTTGGGGGAGTGTGACTAAGGGTCCTCAGCCCAGGTCTCCAGCCCGGAGTGAAGCTCTCCTCACACCTCTAGCCTGTGAGAGTTGAAGAGTGAGGTGTGTGGGCGGGTGTGACCCTCAGGCTCACAGAGGCACGGTGGTGGGGGGCCCCATTTCCATGCTGGCCTATAGCCAGAGCCTCCAGGCCGGCCTGGCTGGGCTCCAAACCTGGGGAGGGCCCTGAGCCCCGGGCTGTGGCTCCTGGGGGCCCAGCTCACAGGCTGAGGAGGCTGAGTGAGGGTCACCCCCTGGCCTCTGGAACCCCCTCACCCAGCACCCCCTGGCCTGGCATTCTGGGAGAAGTGCTTCCGGCCCAGGGCTCCCAGCACCCCTCACCTGCTCCCTCACCCTGGCTGTGTGGGTGAAGGAGTTTGCTGGGTTCTGGCACCCCGGGGCTCACAAAGTCGCTGTCCAGGACAGCCTCTCCCCACCCAGGTCTCCCTGCTTCTTCCTGCCTCACTTTCCCCTGGCCTTGCTCCTGAAGATGCAAAGAACCTGAGTCGACGGCTCTGGCCCACTCTGTCACGTCTCCAGGTGCTCTGTAGCCTCCATCCCAAGGCCTCACGCTGCTGACACAGGTGCAGGGTGGGTCCCCCACTCAGGAAGGCACATCCAGCCCTGGGAAACTGGGCTGAGGGGCAGACGCTGAGGGCCGGGTCTGCATCTCCACAGGAACTGGTCCCCGGTTCACAGTTCAGGAAACAGGCTGTTCAGGCTCAAACGCTCCCTCACCCCCTTTCACAGTCGCCTCCACACCCCACCTGCCCTCGCTGGCACCCCTGCTCTGAGGTTCCTTCCCACCATGGGGAGCCACCCACACCTCCCCAATCTCCCACAGGCCCTTGCAAGTGAAGGTGTGGGGTAGGGGACCCAGTACAGCGGGATCTCAGGGTCTGAAGATTGGGGCATCCGGACTGGGTGAGGCTAGGTCGGGGGGCACGTCTGAGGGAAACGGGTTTGAGGAGAGTGTCTGAGGCACTGTGTGTGTGTGTGGTGTGCATATGTTCATGGTGTGAGCTGTGTTCCTGGGCATGTTCTCAAGAGTTTGCACTTTGCTGTGCCGTGAGGTCTGTGAGATTGTTACATGACACAAAATTATATTTGTTCTATGATTTCAGGTTCAAGTGTGGAGCGAGGCATGTATGTGTGTGGTGTGACTGGAGTGTGTGTTTTTCTTATGGTGTAAGATGTGTGTTGTATGATGTGTGTGGTAACAGGAAGTAGTGGACTGTGGTGAGGAGTGTGCACCTGAGATGCGATGAGAGGTGTGTTTGTGTGTGTATGTGTGTGTGTGTGTGATACAGCCCTTGTTTTGTGAAGATCCTGCATGGTGTGAGTTATATTTGTGGTGTGAGTTGTGTGTGTGTGTGAGATGAGTTTTGTGTAGTGTCAGTGTATTTCCTTGGTGTGAGGGGTATGAGTCTCTGAAGAAAGGTGTGTCTGTGTCTGCAACATAGTCTGAAGTATGCGTGTCTGTGGCCTGAGGTATGTGTGTGTGTGGTGCGAGGGTGTGACTGTCTCTGGTCTGAGCAGTTTGTGTGTCTGAGATAGTAACAGAAATGTCCCTGTGGTGTGAGCAGTGCATGCATTGTAAGGAATGTGTGTGTGCTTATGTTTGTGGTTTGAGGTGTGTGTGTGTCTGTTGTGAGATTGTGTGTGTGAGGAGTGTCAGTTGTATGTTTCTGAGTGTGTAGTGTGAGACGTATGTGTGTATATGTGTGTGTGTGTTTGTGTGTGTCTGAGGTAGTATCGGTGAGTGTTTGGGGTGTTCATCTGCTGCTCCTCTGTGGGTCCCTGAGACAAAACTCAGGAATCTTCATGATTTACTTTTTCTTTTTTTGCTTATTGTCTTACACCTTGCGATGCTCAGGGATTACTCCTGGCTCTTCACTCAGGAACCACTCCTGGCAGTGCTCAGGGGACCCTATCGGATGCCAGAGATTGAACCCAGATTGGACGCATGCAAGGCAAAAGTCCTCTTGGCTGTACTATTGCTCCGCCCCCATGACTTACATTTATTATGAAGCCCAAGGAGAGAGCTGGCAGGTGGTCCAATGTGCCGCGTACTTGCTCTGCTTGCGGGAACGCTGGGGCAAACCTTTACCCAACTTTACCCATCTTGATGAGGGTTCGGGTTCTCAGAGACTCCGTGTGGAAAACCAGGCCTTATGGCTGGTGGATCACTTGGAGTTTATGCAGTAGAAAATGGACAAGCAAGAAATGTCTTTACTGAAACATCCGCTAGCAGCGTGTTTGCCAGTGCCCCTGACTATGGCAGCCTGTGAGCTCCCAGAGCCGAGACCAGCAGTGGGCACCAGGTGAGATGAGAAGGGGTCAGTGTGGAGCGGGCTCTCACACCAGGACCCCAGGATCCCAGAGGAGAAGGAGAGTCAGTCCTGTCCGTTGCTGGTTCCCCTGCAGCTCCCCTCTGAGGGGGAAGGTGTGTCTGAGTGTCCTAGGAGCAAACTCACCCCCAGATTTTGAGATTAAGGCCATAGACATTGTCTCTCAAAGCCCTAGAGACCGGAAGTTCAAATTGGCCACGACACTTGCCCATAAGAAGTTGGAAACTTCCCCCAGAGCCCCTGGAGGCCACAGGTCTCTCTTCCTGTTTCTGAGGGTTTGGGGCATTTCTCCGTCAAACAAAGATGCTATTTTCAACATGTTGCATTCAGAGGTGCTGGTGTCAGGCCTTGGAGCTCTTTGGGGTCTGCAGTCCTGTTGGAGTGCCCTTGGCAGCCTGAACTGGTAAGAGCCAAGTAGGCCCTTGTGTGTGTGTGTGTGTGTGGGAGAGTGTGGGGCAGAGCTGCCCGGGGGGTGGGGTGGGGGGGCAGTGGGAGATAGAGACACTGTTAGCAGCAGAGCCAGAAGGTCCAGGGATGGGAGGTAGCGGGGACGCCTGATAGGGCCTCTTCTGTGGAAACTCTCCTTGGTGACATGGAAACAGGCTCTAAGGGAAGATGGTCATGAATACTAACCTCCTAGATCTGAGACCACCAAACAGTTTTGGGCTGGCACCTAACATGTCCCTCAGCGGGTCTTGGGGAAAAGAGGTTCTGGTGCTGGAGAGACAACAGGGATTAAGGCACTTGTTTGCATGTGACTGACCCGGGTTTGATCCCTGGCACCCCAAGTGATCCCCTGAGCCTTCCAGGAGTGACCATTGAGTGCAGAGCCAGAGGAAGCCCTGAGCTTTGCCAGGTGTAGTTGCAAAACAAACAAACAAACAAACAAACAACCAAAAAACCCAAAACTAAACATCAGGGAAAAAGAGCCTGTTCAGGACTAAAAGAAGGAATTGAGACCACCGGAAACTGGACAAGGGCTGGACTCAACTGTCCCAGTGTGTCTTGCATTTATTGTCCAGTCTGTTGCTTGGGAGAGGAGGGGACATTCTCTCTGCAGATTCTGGAAGATCAGAGGGAGCCAGTTCACAGATAGACGAGAAGGCACAGTTCCGTCTGGCATAGCTGAAGGACAGGCTTGGTGGGGGTCACCTGGAGCCCCTGTTTTCATAGAGGCTGTTTCTCCCGGGTTCTGTTTTCTCTGGAAACTGGAATTGTTCTCGGGAGAAACATCAGACGTTCTCTTCTCTGCGTGGGGCCTCCTGCTCCTTCACCCCGCCTCTGACCACTGCGTTCCCCCTCAAGCAGGACCTAGAAATGCTCAGCTATTGGCAGGCAGTGTTTCGGTGGTTGGGGACAGGGCCCTGCAGGGTGGGGACCCTGGTTTTGCCTGGCACCCCAATTTCTGCGGCCCCTCGACGCTCTGTGATTGGAGGGTCTCTGTCTGTTTCCTAGGGCCCCTCTGAGGCCAGCTTGCCCAGATGACGGTCCCCATCATGACCAGCAGCAGGGGTACCTTCAAGAAGACCAGGAGCAAGAAGTGGACGCTGCTGAGCAGGGATCTGAGAGGGGACAGTGACAAGAAGTGAGGCACCTCCCAGGCCCCTCTCCCAAGCCCCTGGGCCCATCAATTGTGTGAGGGCACCTGAGTGTCCCCAAGGACAGTCTCTGGGCCTTGGTCACCCTGGACCCGTTCATCCCAATGAACCCATCAGGATGGGAGTACTTATGACCTCTGAGCCCCAGAACCCTGTAGCTGGCCAGATGCTGCCCCCATGGCCAACGACCCTCATGGAGCCTCTAGGGCTGACCTGGAAGAGGAAGCAGGTCTCAGCTCACCTTTTCTGAGCAATTGGGAGGAAGAAACCTTAGAACAAGGACATGTGGGGAGGGGACCTGAGGCCTCTGAGGGGGATTGAGGTCTCCTGATGGGGTCACCATGCCCAGGGCCTGAGCAGGAGGGGCTAGGCTTCTCTGCTCGAGAAGCCTCAGAGTGGCGGAGGCTGGGGGCACCAAGCCTGGATTCTGTGCCCGCTCTGGGGAATGGGGGCAGCAGGGGCGGCCAAGGACAAAAGCCTGGGAACTGGACAGTGCCCCAGGCTGCTGGCCACCAGGACCAGGTGACCAGGATGCCCCAATCTCCCCGGTGTTCCTGCTGGGGACCAGGTCAACCCCAGTGACCCCAGGTCTCTGAGTAACCAGCCCTTCACCAGGTGCTTCTCCGATGGTCCCAGTATGTCTGGAGGTCCCCCCAGAGCAGACGGTGTACAGACTTCGGGGAAAGGTGCCATCACAGCACCCAGACACCCATGATCGCACAGGGGTGTCTGTGGGCCCCATGACACTGAGCAACAAGAAGTGGGGGTTCAGCGTTTGTGGGAGCCTTGGCTGAGAGAAACTGGCCTGTACCAGCCTACAAAGCAGCCCCTTTGGGCAAAGTTGTGCGTGTGAGCTGCAGGATCTGAGGGGCTTACCCGGCCTTACTGGGGTGATGGGTCTTGTTGGGGGAGCCTGTGTTCTCTTCCAGGGCGTCAGGTACTGTTGAGGCATTACTGGAGAAAGTGGCCATGGTGGTCGGTCCTGTGTTTGCTGTGGGCAGACAGACCAGCTGGCACAGACAGGCTTGATCTCTCCCCCACCCTTGGCCACAGGGGCTGTGGGCTCAGGACTGAGGCTGGAAGGGGGGAGCAGCCTCACCCCCACCTCCCAGCCCTTCAGGAAGCAGGTGTGTAGGACTCAGATTCAGAATGTGAGCTGTGGGGGACTAGGGCTGGGCTAGTCGGACCTCCTGAGCGTCCTGCCCTCCCGATGCTGATGCGTCTGGCTGACACCTTCTGGATTCCTCAGTCCCAGGCTGTGCCCCATCCCCTGAGACTCATCTGGGGACACTGAGCTGGGCATGGCTCCCTCGGGGACACTGTCAGCCACTGCAGGGGAGACTTAAGGAGGGGTCAGGGTCCAGAGACTCTGAAGAGCCCCCTTTGCTTCAGCCCCAGGTCCAGGGCTGGGGCTCTGTTGCCTGCACGGGGGTCGTGCCCTGGGAGGTTATGGGATGACACAGCCTGTGCAGAGGTTGACACACATCAGCCCCCGACTTAACCCTCGCAATGTCTCCTGCAGACCCTGGGGAGCCTCAGCCCTTTGACTCTATGGGATGCTCCCCCAAAGCCCATGAGCAGGTGTTCCAGGAGGGAGTCACTGAGGGACCAGGCAAGGAACCCGGCACCAATGTCCTGGCAGCACTGGCAGGCCCTGGGCCCCATCCCTGGAGGAGGATCCTTGTGTCCCTTGTCCCCCTGAGCTTCTCCCAACTCTGGGCCTGGCCAGGCCCAAGCTGGGCAGAGAGCACTGAGCCCAGGAAGGGTGGGGGCAGCCGGGGTGGGGGAGCCCCTGAGCATTGCAGATAAGCCCCTCTCCCACTCCATTGCCCACATGGGCATGAGGCCAGGACTCAGCCCCAGGACAGTTCCCCCAGAGTGACCGATGAGGACAGGAGAGGGACCCGGGGAGAAGTCAGAGCAGGGCCTGGGGGACTCATGACACAGACACAGTCACCTACCTGAGCTGATGGTCACTCTGATCAGGAACTTCAGATCATGTCTCTTTCCCTGAATCCCGCACCAGTACGGACCCGTGTCATTGTCCCTGAACCCCTCCACGGTCACGGTGAACTTGTGCTGACTCTGGTCGTCCCTGATGGTCACCCGGTCCTTCCTCACCACCTCCTCTGTTCCAGCGGTTTCTACAGGGTTCCGACAGCCACCGAGGTCCTCCTCTCGGCACCACCACTTCCGGTCCCTCTCATATCTGGCGTCATACTCACAAGTCACTGCCAAGGAGCCTCCAGCTTGACCGACAACTACTAAGGGTCCCCTGAGAGCAGCTGAACCTGGAGACAAACGCATGAGCCTGTCACCTCCCAGCATGGGCAGCAATACCATGGGCACAGGGACTCTCCCCATCCCTCCCCGTCCAGGGACACTCGCCCCCCCATCCCCCCTATGTCCTCCCTGGAACTCCCAGGACCCCATATGGGCCTCAGAGGCTTAAAAACGTGACCCTGAGCAGTGATGGTCCCTGCCTGGTGGCCCAGACCTGCTGCACATGGACACTTCAACCTGTCCTTTAGCAGTCCTTCGGGACTGGGCTCGAACCCCAGCATTGCCGGGGTGATTCCTGAGGGAGGGCAGAGCTGGGAGTTTCCCTGAGTATCATCAGGTGTGGCCCCCAAAAAGAAGAAAACAAAACTACAAACTTTTCGCTAGGGAAAGCTCCTTGATTTTGTCAACATTTCCCCATGAATATTAATATTTTATTCTATTTTATTAATAATTTATGAAAGAAGGTAAAGGTTTACCCTCCCGTTGATCGTCGATTTGCTCGAGCAGGCCCAGTAACGTCTCCATTGGAGACTTTGTTGTTACTGTGTCTGGCATATCGAATACTCTCGGTAGCTTGCCGGGCTCTCCTAGAGGGGCAGAGGAATCGAACTCGGGTCGGCCATGTTGGCCGCTTGTAAGGCAAGCACCCTACCCGCTGTGCTATCGCTCCAGTTGCTCCTGAGTTAACTACTCAGAATGATATCCATTTCATAGATAGCACAGCGGTAGGGTGTTTGCCTTGCACCCAGCCAGCCCGGCTGAGCCAGGTTCGATTCCTCCGCCCCTCTCGGAGAGCCTGGCAAGCTACCGAGAGTATTCAATATGCCAAACACAGTAACAAGAAGTCTCACAATGGAGACGTTACTGGGCCCGCTTGAGCAAAATCACAAAATCGATGAACAACGGGAGGACAGTGTTTATTATTGGGGGTCATTTTTTATTATCTAAGTGATTTGTTTCTTGCCAGGAGTGACATCTGAGCTCAAGCCCTGACACTGTGGGGTGTGTCAACAACAACAATATTTTTGGCTTTTTTTCACTTTTAAAAGAAATGTCTTTCACATAGCATAAAATTTTGCTGTTTTAAAGCATATTTTGGAATGGCAGATGGGATCAGTAGGAGAGCACCTTGCATTTGTGAGGTTCTAGATTCCATTCCAAACAGCACAACAGAAAATAAATTAAAAAAATTTAATATCGATAGCACAGCAGGTAGTGCGTTCGCCTTACATGCGGCCAACATGGCCGACCCAGTTCGATTCCTCCACCCCTCTCGGAGAGCCCGGCAAGCTACCGAGAGTATTCGATATGCCAGACACAGTAACAACAAAGTCTCCAATGGAGACGTTACTGGGCCCGCTCGAGCAAATCGACGATCAACGGGAGGACCTTTTATATTTTGGTAACTATCAGGATGTTAAAAGCTGATTCTAGAACCTTTAGATCACGTCAGATGGAAACCTCTTTCTCTTCCTCCCTCCCTTCCTCCCTCCTTTCCTTCCTTCCTTCTTTTCTTATTTCCTTCCTTCCTCTTTTTTATCCCTCATTTCTTCTTTTCTTTTCTTTTTTTTTTTTTTTGTTGTTTGGGCTACTCCCAGGGGTACTCCTCCAGGGCGTAACTCAGGGGTTACTCCTAGCTCTGCACTCAGGAATCACTCCTGGCAGGCTCAAGGGACCCTATGGGGTGATTGAACCTGGTCAGACCCACGCAGGCAAGGACCTTACCCACTGTACCTTCACTCCAGCCCCTCTCTTTTCTCTGAGCTAAGTATTGCAACCAGCACACCATGCATTCAATGCTCTATTCCTAAACCACCTTGTTTTTGTTTTTTTAAATACAAAAACTCTTTATACTCTTCTATTATCTATATTTTATATTATCCAATTATATCAGGATGTTTCAGAGATATCACACCAAAATCTTTCAGTTCATTTTTATTTCCTGTGAAAGACTTTCAGATGCATTCACCTTTTTAATATTAAGCTAAAGTTTCATAAAATTTGATTAGGTACAAATATAACACCTGAGGGGATGGGTGAGTCCCTCCACCTGCCTCAACAGAACCCCGGCAGCTGCAAACTCCAGAATCTAATTGCCACCATGCTCACAGCCCATCTCCACAGGCTTGGAATGAACCTCATGCATGAGAATGAATCTGCTGAAAAATTCAGGTACGTGAATGTGTGTGGCTGAAATCTACAGGCTCACACGGAGTCGGGTATGGGCACCCAGTCCCCATCTCCTGTGCTTCCGGATCCTGGCAGTCATGCCCACAAACTGCCTCTGGCACCATACAAGTTCATTAACGGCCATGATCCAGAGACTCACAAAAAAATCTTGGAAGAGAGCAACACGCTGCAGAGATGCCCCTGGACCCCAAAATCACCCTCCAGTTAAAAGTTTAACTCCAGCTCTAGTACTCTATTTAAAATTTTAGAATTCCTGTATATCTCATACTTTATGTCACTGATTTAGCAAGAGTAGTACACCATATTTGATGGATTTTAAAGTAGAAAGCAACCAATCTTCATAATATATATGTATATATGTATATATATATGTATATATATAGGGTGGAGCGATAGTGCATCAACGGGTAGGGCATTTGCCTTGCAGGCGTCCAACATGACCGACCCAAGTTCGATTCCTCCACCCCTCTCGGAGAGCCCGGCAAGCTACCGAGAGTATCTCGCCCGCATGGCAAAGCCTGGCAAGCTACCCGTGATGTATTCGATATACCAAACACAGTAACGATTGTCACAATGGAGACGTTACTGGGTCCACTTGAGCAAATCAATGTACAACAGGAGGACAGTGATAGTGTGACAGTGATATATATATATATATATATATATATATATATATATATGCACACAAGGCTCAACCTGTAACAACATGTTAGCGATCTCTTATACAGGGGCTTAACAGCTCCAAGGTGAGTTACAACAGTTTTCCCACACTTTCCTCTAAGGAAAACTTTTTGGATCATGTTTAGTGAATTATTCATAACAAGCCACCCAAAATATATTATTTAGTATCTGCCTTTGGGGCAGGCTTGCGTGGTGGTGGTAAAATTCAAAATAATGGTGGTGGGAAGGTGTAATGGTGGGGGGATTTGCATGGAAATACTGAAGATAGAGGTGGAGTGATAATACATGAGTAGGACGTTTGCCTTGCACAAGGCCGACCTGGGTCCGATCCCAGGCATCCCATATTGTCCCCTGAGCTCCACTAATTCCTGAGTGCAAAGTAATTCCTGAGTGCAAAGCTAGGAGTAACCCCTGAGCATCGCTGGGTGTGACCCAAAAAGTAAAAAGTAATAAATTAAATTATGTGAACAACTTTATAAAAATAAAATTTAAAAATAAATAAATGAATGAAAACAAATGAAAAACAACAGCTGAACATGCCAATAAAAAATGAAAAGGCAAAAGAATTAGGAAAATAAGTGGAATGAATAAAATAGAAAAGAAAAGAGCTGGAGAGGTCGGACAGCATTTGAGGCCCTTGCTCTGCATGTCCCTGACCCTGCTGCCCTCCCAGCACCCCATGTCACCCCCCCACCCAGCATTGCCGGGAGTAATTTCTGAGTGTAGAGTTAAGAGAGACCCCTGAGCATTGCCGGATATGACCCAAATGCAAGAACAAAAAGAGAAAAAAAAAGTTTCTCTTGATGAAGAGAGAAGGCTAAAGCAATATTAAACTTAGGAATTTCCTGTATAGAGACAGGTTTCTAAGTGAAGAGCAGAGAAGACGTACAGAGATGCCTGGAGGTGGGGGAAGGTCAAGGACTGAGCCCGAGTGCTTCCGGGTCAGGACCTCATCCTAGACATGTCTCAAAACTGGCACCCATCTGCCTGCTGGGCCTGGGCTCCCTCCCCACCACCACGGGGAGACAAAGAGGAGGGCCAGAAGCCCCTGAACTCATCAGAGGAACCCACCAACCTCCCGCAGGGCCCGGGCCTCTCTGCCCCCTCAGGACCTCCTGGACTCACCTCATCCATACTCAGGCCCTCGGCCTTTCTGCCCTCTCCTGCTCCAGTGTCCTGTGCCCATGCCATGCTCCCTGGCTGTCCAGCATGCTCCCCACTTTCCTTCCTGTACCCCTTTCCCTCCTTCCAGGGTCCCCCCACCCCTGGGGACAGAGCAGCAGGAGGAGTGGTTGCTGGACTCTGCTGTTCCCACACCTGACCCGGGGCCTCACTGTCCACTGGGGCCACCCGCTGGATTCAGGAGCTCTGCCCAGAGCAGATTCTTCTACTGCTCCAGCCTCACAGTTGAGCCTTGCTGAGCCCACCGCACTGGGGACAGTCCCCACCTGCCAGGGGCCACCCCACCCCAGGCACCTGCGGCTGTAACTCCAGCTCAGCCTTGGGGGATCCTGGTGAACTGGGGTGGGCTCAGTGGGACCACGGGCAGGGCCCCTTCCCCCAGGCCAGACCCGACTTACGTGACAGGCAGCAGAGGATGAGCAGGAGCACAAGCGGCCGCATCCTCTTACCCGGGGCCAGGGTGTGGGCAGAGCCTGTGGGAGAGATGGAGCCCCTCACCTTCCCTCCTTCTGCTCTCTCACTCTCTCTGTCTTTGTCTCTGTCTCTGTCTCTCTCCCTCTCTCTCTTGCTTCCTCCTGCAACTACTCCCTACTCTTGCAACACATAAAAAGAGGAAGGATACCTGAGACCCGGAAAGGGAGCCCCCACCAGAAGTTCTTTGTCCTTTACCAAACTAAAGCTTAGGATCCAGTTTTTAGGGCTGGGGTGCCCCAGCACCCCTAGGTCCTTGCCCCTTCTATTTGTGGCTCTGCCGTCTCTGCCTGATGCTTTCTTCCAGGATGAAGCTGCTGACTGGAAGGTGAGAACATTGTTTTTTTTTTTTTCTTTTTGGGTCACACCCGGCAATGCACAGGGGTTACTCCTGGCTCTGCACTCAGGAATTGCTCCTGGCAGTGCTCAGGGGACCATATGGGATGCTGGGAATCAAACCCGGGTCAGCGACATGCAAGCCAAATGCCCTACCCGCTATGCTATTGCTCCAGCCCCAAGGTGAGAACATTTTGAAC